TTTCTTCTCTGATTGCGGCGGCTGGGACTTCCAAAACTATGTTGAATAATAGTGGCGAGAGTGGACATCCTTGTCTTCTTCCTGATCTTGGAGGAAGTGCTTTCAGTTTTTCACCATTGAGAATGATGTTTGCTGTGGGTTTGTCGTATATGGCCTTTATTATGTTGAGGTAGTTTCCCTCTATGCTCACTCTCTGGAGAGTTTTTATCATAAATGGTGTTGAATCTTGTCAGAAGCTTTTTCTGCATCTATTCAGATGATCATATGTTTTTTCTTCTTCAATTTGTTAATATGGTTTATCACATTGATTGATTTGCATATATTGAAGAAGGCTTGCATCCCTGGGATAAATCCCACTTGATCATGGTGTATGATCCTTTCAATGTGTTGTTGGAGTCTGTTTGCTAGTATTTTGTTGAGGATTTTTGCATCTATATTCATCAGTGATATTGGTCTGTAATTTTCTTTTTTTGTAGTATCTTTGTCTGGTTTTGGTATCAGGGTGATGATGGTGGCCTCATAGAATGAGTTTGGGAGTGTTTCTTCCTCTGCAATTTTTTTGGAAGAGTTTGAGAAGGATAGGTGTTAGCTCTTCTCTAAATGTTTGATAGAATTCTCCTGTGAAGCCATCTGGTCCTGGACTTTTGTTTGTTGGAAGATTTTTAATCAGTGTTTCAATTTCATCACTTGTGATTGTTCTGTTCGTATTTTCTATTTCTTCCCGGTTCAGTCTTGGAAGCTTATACCTTTGTAAGAATTTGTCCATTTCTTCCAGGTTGTCCATTTTATTGGCATAGAGTTGCTTGTAGTAGTCTCTTAGGATGCTTTGTATTTCTGCGGTGTCTGTTGTAACTTCTCCCTTTTCATTTCTAATTTTATTTGAGTCCTCTCACTCTTTTTCTTGATGAGTCTGGCTAATGGTTTATCAATTTTGTTTATCTTCTCAAAGAACCAGCTTTTAGTTTTATTGATCTTTGCTATTGTTTTCTTTGTTTCTATTTCAGTTATTTCTGCTCTGATCTTTATGATTTCTTTCCTTCTGCTAACTTTGGGTTTTGTTTGTTCTTCTTTCTCTAGTTCCTTTAGGTGTAACGTTAGATTGTTTATTTGAGATTTTTCTTGTTTCTTGAGGTAGTCTTGTATTGCTATAAACTTCCCTCTTAGAACTGCTTTTGCTGCATCCCATAGGTTTTGGATCATCGTGTTTTCATTGTCATTTGTCTCTAGGTAGTTTTTGATTTCCTCTTTGATTTCTTCAGTGATCTTGTGGTTATTTAGTAACGTATTGTTTAGCCTCCATGTGTTTGTGTTTTTAACGTTTTTTTCCCTGTAATTTGTTTCTCAAAGTGTTGTGGTCAGAAAAGATGCTTGATATGATTTCAATTTTCTTAAATTTACTGAGGCTTGATTTGTGACCCAAGATGTGATCTATCCTGGTGAATGTTCCGTGTGCACTTAAGAAAGTGTAATGTGCTGTTTTTGGATGGAATGTCCTATAAATATCAATTAAATCAGTCTGGTCTATTGTGTCATTTAAAGCTTGTGTTTCCTTATTAATTGTCTGTTTGGATGATCTGTCCATTGGTATAAGTGAGGGTTAGAAGTCCCCCACTATTATTGTGTTACTGTTGATTTCCTCTTTTATAGCTGTTAGCAGTTGCCTTATGTATTGAGGTGCTCCTATGTTGGGTGCATATATATTTATAATTGTTATATCCTCTTGGATTGATGCCTTGATCATTATGTAGTGTCCTTCCTTGTCTCTTGTAACATTCTTTATTTTAAAGTCTATTTTATCTGCTATGAGTATTGCTACTCCAGCTTTCTTTTGATTTCCATGGAATATCTTTTTCCATCCCCTCACTTTCAGTCTGTATGTGTCCCTAGGTCTGAAGTGGGTCTCTTGTAGACGGCATATATATGGGTCTTGTTTTTGTATCCATTCAGCGAGCCTGTGTCTTTTTGTTGGAGCATTTAATCCATTCACGTTTAAGGTAATTATCGATATGTATGTTCCTATTACCATTTCCTTAATTGTTTTGGGTTTGTTTTTGTAGGTCCTTTTCTTCTCTTGTGTTTCCCACTTAGAGAAGTTCCTTTAGCATTTGTTGTAGAGCTGGTTTGGTGGCGCTGAATTCTCTGAGCTTTTGCTTGTCTGTAAAGCTTTTGATTTCTCCAGCAAATCTGAGTGAGATCCTTGCTGGCAAGGGTAATCTTGTTTATAGGTTCTTCCCTTTCATCACTTTAAATATGTCATGCCACTCCCTTCTGGCTTGTAGTGTTTCTGCTGAGAAATCAGCTGTTAACCTTATGGGAGTTCCCTTATATGTTATTTGTCGTTTTTCCCTTACTGGTTTCAATAATTTTTCTTTGTCTTTAATTTTTGCCAATTTGATTACTGTGTGTCTCGGCATGTTTCTCCTTGGATTTATCCTGTATGGGACTCTCTGTTCTTCCTGGACTTGGGTGGCTATTTCCTTTCCCATGTTAGGGAAGTTTTCGACTATAATCTCTTCAAATATTTTCTCAGGTCCTTTCTCTCTCTCTTCTCCTTCTGGGACCCCTATAATGTGAATGTTGTTGCGTTTAATGTTGTCCCAAAGGTTTCTTAGGCTGTCTTCATTTCTTTTCATTCTTTTTTCTTTATTCTGTTCTGCATCAGTGAATTCCACCATTCTGTCTTCCAGGTCACTTATCCGTTCTTCTGCCTCAGTTATTCTGCTATTGATTCCTTCTAGTGTATTTTTCATTTCAGTTGTTGTATTGTTCATCTCTGTTTGTTTGTTCTTTAATTCTTCTAGGTCTTTGCTAAACATTTCTTGCATCTTCTCGATCTTTGCCTCCATTCTTTTTCGGAGGTCCTGGATCATCTTCACTATCATTATTCTGAATTCTTTTTCTGGAAGGTTGCCTATCTCCACTTCATTTAGTTGTTTTCCTGGGGTTTTATCTTGTCACTTCATCCGGTACATAGCCCTCTGCCTTTTCATCATGTCTATCTTTCTGTGAATGTGGTTTTTGTTCCACAGGCTGCAGGATTGTAGTCCTTGCTTCTGCTGTCTGCCCTCTGGTGGATGAGGCTATCTAAGAGGCTTGTGCAAGTTTCCCAATGGGAGGGACTGGTGGTGGGTAGAGCTGGCTGTTGCTCTGGTGGGCACAGCTCAGTAAAACTTTAATCTGCCTGTCTGCTGATGGGTGGGGCTGGGTTCCTTCCCAGTTGGTTGTTTGGCCTGAGGAGACCCAACACAGTAGCCTACCCAGGCTCTTTGGTGGGGCTAATGGTGGACCCTGGGAGGGCTCACGCCAAGGAGTACTTCCCAGAACTTCTGCTGCCAGTGTCCTTGTTCACGGTGAAACACAGCCACCCCCCGCCTCTGCAGGAGAACGTCCAACACTAGCAGGTAGGTCTGGTTCAGTCTCCTATGGGGTCACTGCTCCTTCCCCTGGGTCCCGATGCACACACTACTTTGTGTGTGTGCTCCAAGAGTGGAGTCTGTTTCCCCCAGTCCTGTCGAAGTCCTGCAATCAAATCCCACTAGGCTTCAAAGTCTGATTCTCTAGGAATTACTCCTGTTGCCGGACCCCCAGGTTGGGAAGCCTCACATGGGGTTCAGAACCTTCACTCCAGTGGGTGGGCTTTTGTGGTATAAGTGTTCTCCAGTTTGTGAATCACCCACCCACCAGTTATGGGATTTGATTTTATTGTGATTGCGCCCCTCCTACTGTCTCACTGTGGCTTCTCCTTTGTCTTTGGATGTGGGGTATCTTTTTTGGTGAGTTCCAGTGTCTTCCTGTCGATGATTATTCAGCAGTTAGTTGTGATTCCGGTGCTTTCGCAAGAGGGAGTGAGAGCACGTCCTTCTACTCCGCCATCTTGAGCCAATCTCTCAAGGGACTTTTAACAGTTCCTTTGCCTATTTTATTCTTGCCCTTTGAAGTAAAATAATCTAAAAAATGCTTCCTTTGGTAAATTAAGAGTACCTCACCACTGTGTGATGGTGTGTATTTTATATTTGTTGTACCTTGCATTTCTTTTTACCATACCCCTTGACTCTATTCATCTCTTTATCTCAATCTGCATAGAAAATGATATACTGTTGCTATCAGTGATCCCCTAAACCCTCGAACTGTCATTGGCCCCTAAACAAAGATAAATAATATCCTCTAGGAAATTTAGGGACCTAACTTTTTTTTTTGTTTAATTTTTATTGGAGTATAGCTGATTTACAATGTTGTGTTAGTTTCTGCTGTACAGCAGAGTGAATCAGTTATACATATACATATATCCACTCTTTTTTAGATTATTTCCCATATAGGTCATTACAGAGTATTGAGAAGAGTTCCCTGCGCTATACAGTGGGTCCTTATTAGCTATCTATTTTATATATACTATTGTGTATATGTCAATCCCCGTCTCCCAATTTATCCCCCCGCACCACTGCTGTTTTCCCCCTCGCAACCATAAGTTTGTTTTCTACAGCTGTGACTCTATTTCTGTTTTGTAAAGAGGTTCATTTGTACCATTTTTTAGATTCCACATATAAGCCATATCATATGATCTTTGTCTTTCTCTGTCTGACTTCACTCAGTATGACACTCTCTAGGTCCATCAGTGCAAATGATATTATTTTGTTCTTTTTTATGGCTGAGTAATATTCTGTATATATATATGTATGACATCTTCTTTATCCATTCCTCTGTCAATAGACATTTAGGTTGATTCCACGTCCTGGCTATTGTAAATAGTGCTGCAGTGAACATAGGGGTGCATATATCATTTTGAATTATGGTTTTCTCTGGATATACGTCCAGGAGTGGGATTGCTGGATCATATGGAAGCTCTATTTTTAGTTTTTAAAGGAACCTCCATACTATTTTCCATGACTTCTTGATCCTTAAAAGACGTAGGCTGAGATGTCTTTGGCTAAAGGGATTGTCCATTAGAGAAAGTTTGGGGCTCTGAACAGAAAGCAACTTCTTTGACTTTCTTTCCTGGGCAGATCTTGCTGTCACTGCTATTACCACGCCAGAACCGCCTAAGAAGTGAGATTGAAGAAGCCCTGGACATGAACCTCCTTAAGCAGGAAGCAGAACATGGGGCCCTGAATGTCCCTCATCTCTCTAAGTACATTCTCAACATGATGACTCTGCTGTGTGCACCAGTTCGAGATGAAGCAGTGCAGAAACTAGAGAACATCACAGACCCTGTTCGGTTACTGAGGTGTGAAACTTGACCAGTTTCTTGAAACCTGCCTCAGCCCCTGGGCCGGGCACAGCTGGGCCGGACACTGGGTCACAGCCTCTGTCTTGGCTGGCTCTTCCCTACTGAAGACCTGACTAACTCCTCTTTTCTCTGGTCTATTAGCTTTTCTTTTCCAAAGATGGCCTTAGATTGATTGGCCCCCTATACACCATCCTACCATAAATCATTGGAGTATGTAATCCTTTCTTCTAAGGAATTCAAACATCCCTATCCCAGGTTTTCTTACTGCATTTCACACAATATGGGGGATAGGGATGGGAGGTTACCCCTTTTTCAGAGCTATAGAAACCATGACCCAGAAAGTTAAAAAAAAAAAAAAAAAGTGAATTGTCCAAAAATAGCATCAGAAATAGCATCAGCTAAAATCCCACTTCCCAGAGAGATTCGTCGGCATGCTGGTGTGTTTCCTTCCACTGACTACTCTTTTTTTAGGAGACATAGAATGACTGTTGTGGAAAGGTCTGAAGGCTTTAGCATCCAGAGACTTATCTGTTCCTAGCTCTGCCACTCACTCACTTACTCTGGGCCTTGGGTCCTAGGCCTCAGTGCCATCTTTTGTAAATTTAGGAGGCAGGACTAAGTTAGTTTTAAAGCCCCTCCTACCTCTAGAATATGGTGATTTAATGATATCTTGTGTAGGTTCCCCCTCACTGGATTTCCTTTCATAGTATAAATATCTATTTCCTCCTGTGTCAGAGGAATCTTCCAGGTTCTGGGCCTGATGAAAATGGACATGGTGAACTACACTATCCGGAGCCTTCAGCCCCAACTGCAGGAACGTTCGGTCCAGTGTGAACGAGCTAAATTTCAGGAACTCCTCAACAAGCAGCCTAGTATGTATATAACTCGAGGGCAGGAGCAGGGAATATGTCTTTGGGTCTGACTTTAATGATGTGAGAGAGTACTCTGCCTCTTTTTAGCAGCAGAAAGTTTCTTCCTCAGATGGGGGTGGCAGAAGGAATAGTTAATCTAAGCCAGAAAGACTTCCCCCCACCAAAGCGTTTACTTACTGAGGAGGAGGAGATCTTGAATCTTCGTCCCAAGGCCTCGGGACGTGGGAGCCGAAGATGATTATGCGCTCTTCCTGTCACAGGCCTCCTCGATCACACTACCAAGTGGCTGACCCGAGCGGCGGCAGACCTCTCCACGCCGCCGCCTAGCTGCCCTGACACTCCCGACTCCTCCAGTGTGGTCTGCCCCTCTCCAAGTGAGGCAGCCAACAGCCCGGAGCCCCTCAGCCCCAAAATGGTGCTGTCCCAGGGCTTCCTGAACCTCCTCCTCTGGGACCCCGAAGATGAAGAGTTCCCTGAGGTAGGACTGTGGGGGGCCTTGCCTTGTTGTCTGGGACTGAGGACTTGCATGGGGACCCTCCTCTCCTGACCCGCTCTGCCTGCTTCCCCAGACCCTGCTGATGGACAGAGCCCAGCTGCAGGAGCTGGAGGCCCAGCTGCGCCAGTTAACCATCCTGGCCTCGGTCTTGCTAGTGGCCAGCAGCTTCTCTGGCAGTGTTCTGTTTGGCTCGCCTCAGTTTGTGGATAAGCTGAAACGCATAACCAAAGCCCTGATGGAGGAGTTGAAGTCCAGGTGAGTTGCGTAGGTCTTTTTTAGAGTAACGACAGGTGATATGAAGGCACAGGCAGGTAATGAAGGATGCCTTACGTTCCGCAACAAACCACAGAAAGGCCCTTTGGAATCATTCACAAAGATTGTTGGTATCTTTCCATAAGTGGCCTTGAGGCTTGTAACAAAGAAAAATAAAACTCTCTTCCAAAAGGGTAGTATGGAGGATAGTTTACTATAAAATGATTCATTATCTTGCTTGCTACAGAAGAGTCTTTATCTAGTTGAGTGGGCTGGTCGTATGTATCTCCAGGAGTCGGCCAGCCAGCAATGTTGATTGAATATCCACTGAGTGCAGGGTGTCACACCAAAGGAAAAAGCGGAATCAGAAGGCCAGGTTTGTCATTGTAATTGGTGAGAGTAGGACAAATGACCATGGAAAATGTCCAAGAAAGTGTTAAAAATGTGCATATATGAATAAATCCCATGGGGCTAAAGAATACTGAGTGGATACGAAACCCTTGTCCAGAGTTGATCTTATAGTTTATCTTGTTTTCTAAGAAGAAGAACATGGTATCATACAGAGGAAGAAGTCAGTATCTGGAGGGTAACAGTGAAGACACTGACCCTACCCACTGGACTCTGTGCTTCCAGGGCCTGGGGTGAGGGCAGAAGGGTGGCTGGGCATCTCCCTCACATAGGCCCAACTTCTGGTGTGGAGCTTCGGGGCTCAGGGCCGCCCCTGGGTACCAGCTTACTCTCCTTCGCGGTCTAGGCCTGAGGAGGAGGCTATGCTGACTGTGAGTGAACAGGTGTCTCAGGAAATCCATCAGAGCCTCCAGAACATGGGCCTTGCTGCTCTGAGCAGCGACAACACAGCATCGCTGATAGGAGAGCTCCAGAACATCACCAAGAAGGAGAACTGTGTCTACAGTGTCATTGGTGAGCATGCCTGTGGGGTGGTGGGAATGCTGAGGGGAGAGCCAGTCCCCCCACTGGAAGGTGCTTACTGAACCATATAACCACAAAGGACATGATGATTGGGCAAGTCACTGTGTAGGCTTTAGTTGTTGCATAATGCTGGGTTGAAAATATATCCCTTTTAGTTTAAAGACTGACTCTATGGTTGAAGGAAGATTTGTACCAGGAATTCATGGCTTCTAGGTATGGCATACTGTCCAGCCAATCTGGTTAAGTCATCCCTGGCCTTCTGGGTCATTTTTGGCTGCAGTCTAAGACATGTGACACCCACTCCCTGCCAACAAGAAGATGATGCCGAATTAGGCTGGAGGACATGTTCCCAAAGCAGGGGTTCCCCCTGTCCCATGTTGGAATGGTGGCCATGAACTTGACCTTGCTCTTAACCTACCTCAGCCATCTGAAGGGTCAGTCAAAGATCCTCCTGTTATGTCAAATACCAGGATTTAACTGATGAATACTTAAGGAATCTTTTGAGTAGACATGTGCTAGCCCACTAGTTTTGGATCTTTGCTTTGTCCTTGGGAGTTAGGTAGCAGCCCCCTTCCCAAACAAAACAAATTTCCTTATGTCTAGGTGAGTGGGTAGGCCAGTGAATATCTCAGTTAACTTTGAACTTGGGTGAGTAGAGTGCAGGGGGCAGTGTTTCTCCCTGAAAGTTGTTTGCTCTTTCCCTTCTCACTGTCTATTCCTGCTCACAGGTCAGCGGATCCACTTGTTCCTCAAATGCTGTTTGGTTCTTGGTGTGCAGCGGTCTCTGCTAGACCTCCCTGGAGGCCTTACCCTCATTGAGGCAGAGCTGGCAGAACTGGGCCAGAAGTTCGTCAGCTTGACACACCACAATCAGCAGGTGTTTGGCCCCTTCTACATGGAGATCTTAAAGACCCTCATCCCCCCAGCCCAGGCACCGGAGACAGAAGTGGGGTCTCTCTGATGGCACTGGCCCCAAGCCCTGGTACCTTGGACCCAGGAGAGAAGCCCATCATTCTCTTGGGGTGACATCACCAGTGACCAGCAGAGCAGCAAGCCCTCTCCCCGTCTGCAGCCAGTGCACTGCCCTGCAGTGACCAAGCGTGTAACCACTGGCTGGCCCAGACTCATTCACTAATAAACTTCTGAACTGCAAGCAAACCCCATGCTTCCTGTGCGGCAGCCGTGGCCAGGCCCTGTGTCCTCAGCCCCCCACTAGTGAGCAGCCGGCAGGCCCTGGTTTTTCCTCCAGGTGCTGCCTTCAGCACGCAAAGCTGAGAAGCCAAGACACGCAGGTACTATAACATTATATAACATTTTCTCTGAGGGTAAAGCATTTCTCTGAGGGCTCTGAGAATTCTGTGGAATTATCCAAAATGTGAGTATATTTCTGGAAGTCAGAAATTGGTTTTGTCTAATTCAGTTCTCATGATTGGGTGTGATTGAAAAAAGTTATTAGAAACCTCATTTCCAGGACCAACTTCCCCTGAAGGTTTCAAATGATGCCACAAGAGGTCAGGAAGAGTGAGAGCCTCAGCTTTCTCTTCTGTTGCAGGCGTTCTGAAGCAGGGCGCTAGCTGGGGCCAGATAACAATGGATGTTGGCTCATAGCGGGCGTCCTGCTGAGGACAGGTCCGAGTTCCTGTGCTCTCTCTCTCTCAGGTGTCCAGAGTTCAGTCTTGGCCAGTTGGATCATTGACTGGTTCGGTCAAGTTTATCCTTAGTCCTGTTCTCTAGCTGAGTGGCTGAGTGAGTCTCCCTCACTCTCTAAGCTTAGAAGCCCCTGTTCTTCCCAACAGAGGCCGTGTGGGCGTCCCAGTGTGGAACACCCTCCACCCTTCTTCCCACTTCCAGACTGGGACTGTCCCTGGCAGTTGTGGTTGTGAGCTCTGCTGTTGGCATCACAAATGAGAGCTGTTCTAGGAAGGACCTGGGCTTGTCTCCTGGGCTTGTTGAGATCCAGCCCCTCATTCTCGGGCAGACCGCAGCAGACCAGCCCTGACCTAGGACAGCTGAAATGAGGAAATGTTCCCTTCACATTTGGCCCTTTTTTGGTAATGGATAAGAGAGAAAATGGAAACTCACTTGCCTGCTTTCAAGGTAGGGTGAAGACAATCAATGTTCTCGCCATCTCAGGAGATGGATGGAGATGAATATAGGAAGAACATCTAGGAAGCCTAGGAAGAGCATCTGAAGGGGGATGTGAGTTCCATTAGCCCAGGATTTCTCCTGATTGACTTCCTTTTTTAGAGAGTAGAGCCTAGATGGGTGACAGAGCCAGGCCAACAGTGGACCTTTACTATGACCAGAAAAGCTGGAGGACCTGGATCGTTCAGTTTCCAATCTTGTAGCTGGACATCCTCAAGATGGGGAAGCCCAGAAAAAGGATATGTTTCATAGACAGTGAGGCTTGCCTAGATGGAGCCTCTGATTTGCAACTATTTGAATTTGTTAAAAATCCATATTTTGGAAACCTTATCTTAGAGGCAGAAGTGCTCTGAAGGGGTTCCTGAGAAGAGGACTGCCTGGTTGGTGGGTGCAGATACTGGGCTGACAATAGAACTTTGCTTTGCACTTCATAATTAAAATCCGGAACGATTGATTTCTTAGAAATTTTGAGTTGATTTTCTTGTGCTTCCATGTGGAGGAGACAGGGATCCTGACCTCAACAAAGAAAGATAGCTCCATTCAATCCTGCCCACAGTTTGAGGGATATATACTTTGATTTGCGGTAAAATACACATAATACAGAAATGTACCATTAGTGACATTTTGTACACTCACAGTGTTGTGCAGCTATCACTAGTGTCTAGTTGCAGAAATAAAAAATCAGCTCATTGGGCTGAAATCAGAGTGTTGGCAGGACCACACTTCCTATGGAGGCCCTAGGGGAGAATCCGTTCCTTGCCTCTTTCAGCTTTTTTTTTTTTTTTTTTTAATTGCTGGTATTTCATTACCTGTGGCTGCATTAGTCTAGTCTAGGCCTCCATGGTCACCTCAGGGTCCCATGGTCGTCATCTGTGTGTATCTAATCTCCTCTCTTATAAAGATATTTCTGATTGGGTTTAGGGCCCACTCACATAATCCAGGATAATCTCCCCATTTTAAGATCAACTTAATCACCTAGGTAATTGTTATGGGTTGTGTCTCCCCCACTCCCCGCCCCCAAATTCATATGTTGAAGTCCTAACCCCCAGTACCTCACAATGTGACCTCATTTGTAAATTGGGTCATTATAGATGTACTTAGTTAATGTGAGGTTATGCTGGAATTGTGTGGGACCCTGATCCAATCTGACTGGTGTCCTTATGAAAAGACATGTGTCACATGAAGAGGCAGACACATACAGAAGTACAACAATGTGAAGAATCAGGGAGAATGCCGTCTACTTCAGGCTACCAGAAGCTAGAAAACAGGAATGGGACAGATTCTCCCTCAGAGCCTTAGAAGAAACCAACTCTGCTGACACCCTGATTTCAGACTTGTACCTCAGATAAAACAAATGTATTATCTGTTTAAGCCACCCAGTTTGTGGTGCTTTGTTACAGTAGCCCTAGGAAACTAAAACAGTAACATTTACAGGTTCTAGTAATTAGGACCTAATATCTTTGGGTGGCCATTATTCAGTCTGCTACAAAGAAAGAATCTGTTTCCTTGACTTTTCCAGCTTCTAGAGACTGTGCACATTCCTTGGCTGGTAGCCCCTTCCTCCAGCTTCTAAGACCGTCCCTAAACCATTGCTTTCATCATGTCTCCTCTCTTACTTTGACCCTCCTCCCTCCCTTTTTTTTTTTAAGCATCTTTACTGGAGTATAATTGCTTTACAATGTTGTGTTAGTTTCTGCTGTATAACAAAGTGAATCAGCTATACGTATACATATATCCCCATATCCCCTCCCTCTTGTGTCTCCCTCCCACCCTCCCTATCCCACCCCTCTAGGTGGTCACAAGGCACCGAGCTGATCTCCCTGTGCTATGCGGCTGCTTCCCACTAGCTATCTGTTTTACATTTGGTAGTGTATATATGTCAGTGCCACTCTCTCACTTCATCCCAGCTTACCCTTCCCCCTCTCCATGTCCTCAAGTCCATTCTCTACATCCGTGTCTTTATTCCTGTCCTGCCCCTAGGTTCCTCAGAACCATTTTTTAAAATAGATTCCATATATATGTGTTAGCATACCATATTTGTTTTTCTCTTCTGACTTAATTTGCTCTGTATGACAGACTCTAGGTCCATCCACCTCACTACAAATAACACAATTTCGTTTTTTTTATGGCTGAGTAATATTCCATTGTATATATGTGCCACATCTTTATCCATTCCTCTGTCGATGGACACTTAGGTTGCTTCCATGTCCTGGCTACTGTAAATAGAGCTGCAATGAACATTGGGGTACATGTGTCCTTTTGAATCATGGTTTTCTCAGGGTATATGCCCAGTAGTGGGAT